TCGGAATAGATCTCCACGGCAGTTGTCCTTGGGCTGGCTGCCGTCGAGGGAGAAGTGACGCCCTCAGGCTTGGGGTTGGCGGCGAGGCGGGTGTTGGCAGGAGGAGGAACAGTAACGGTCTGGGTTTGTACTACAGTTTTGGTTTCGGTCTCATAGGCGATTTCGGAAACAATAAGAGGTGGGAGTTCATTGTACTGTTAAAAAAGCAAAAGCAAAAAAAATCAGCAATAGTGCCAAAAGAGTTTTTTATGAAGCTCTCGGACTACAAGACCAGCCCAAAGAAAAATCAATGCAATCACGTGGAGCGCGTTATGATCGGCTCTCGATCATGGTCGATCGCGACGCGTCATCCCAAACAGGACGAACACGTCTTGGGACTGGTCAGTGGTGTACAGAGAGGACGAGGGGGACGAGGAAAACACCAAAGTCCCCCTAGCCCGGACGAAGGAGTAAGGGGGCGTGGACGAGATATACGGACTCGATGGTATTTTACACCTCCTTCGTCTCAAAGCTCTGAGCGGCGCGGAGTGGGCGGCGGTACCTTGGCTTTTCGCTTTGTTCCAACGGGCTCATAAATATAATCGTCCTCAACATTTTGAGGGCTGTCGTTGCCGAGAACACTGCGTGAAGACCATCAAACAGGGTGCGTGAAATGTGCAAAGTATGAGCTTACTGGAGCTGTTCCATAATCCAGCTTTCGCGACGTGAAGCATCGTGTTCCCTACGGTTCACAGACTCTTCACGTTTACTCATGTCGCGTTCGCGCTCGGCGATCTTGAGTTCGCGGTCGAGTAGCTCCTCCGCACGGGTACCGACCCAACCAGGGGGGGTAAGGGAGTCCTCCTTGACAACTTCCTTGATCACCGTCTGGATTGGCCCAGCGACAGTCTCCGTGACTGTTACTGAAGTACAAGCGGGGCAAGCGATGGCAGAAGGGGCGGGTACAACACCGCCAGGGGCACCGGCGAGGAGCTCGGCTTCACGACGGGCAACCTCGGCTTCACGAATGGCGACGGCGCTTTCACGGGCAATGAGAGCCTGGGTTCGTTTGGGAGTGAGGTATCCGAGGACACCCGACTTGGCAGACTCGCTCCCAGAGTCAACTGACGTGCTAGATGGTAGAGAGAGCATGACGGCTAGAACGGCGAGGACAAGGGAAAGGACGAGGAGAAGGGTGGTGGAGGAGATTGTGCGATGGTGGTGATGAGAACGCTCGCGTTCACGTTCACGGTCGCTGCGGTGACGGTGTTCGCGTTCACCTTCATGGCGGGACGAAGAGGGTTGGGCCATCCTGACTTTATGGACTTATGAGGGGTTAGGAAGACGCAAGCGGGCGTAACGATGGCTTACCGTTGCTAATTGAAGAACTAGGCGACACCGAGGGGGCCTGTGTGGTGCGTAGGATAGACGTTTTGGACGTAATGTTGGAAAGTGAAGGGGGTTGTGAAGGGGTAGCGCAGCGGAAAATAAAAGGTGAAGCAGATGGGGGTTAAGAACAAGCAATCCAACAATCCAAACCCGTCCACTTTTTTGCCATTTTCATTGTTCAACCACCACGTGTAGGCCACGTGTGCTACTTTTTTGGGCCTAATTGTTCTCACATGACTTGGCACAAATTCCTTTGTACACACTGGTCCTCCTCACCGACAACAATGTCCCTTCTACGACTGGCGCAGACGAACAACGCTGCTACCAACACGAGCTCCCCACGGACCCCACGAAGCTCCGAATCAAGTTCATCTCATAGTTCGCCCCGTTTGGCATCTCCTTCGACACCCCGCAACCGCATTTCTATTGGCGTCTATCGCTCGCCCGCTTCGACACCTTCTATCTCGTCGTCTCTTCCATTTGACTGGGATGCAATTCGCTCAGGGAAGCCTGCCCCATATGGTCCACCCATCCAACGCAAAGGACGCCAAAGCATGGGTGTAGGAACTCCCGCAAAACGCGTTGTTCGCCAGAAGAGCGTTGTTGAAAGGTAGTTGCATATGCGTTAGGCGGTTATAGTTACTGACTTGACGCGTCAGGATCACATCTATTCCGTCCACAATCGCGTTTGAACTTGCTTTGTTCCCGCGCAATGTGCCCCTTCCTACACCCACGACGTCTGGCAGACTCGTTGGTGGTGTCTTGAACTTCTTGCATCTTTGCGTTCGAATCAGTCAAACACACAAAGTACCCGATTCGGATTTGGGATGGGAAGACATGTACCGGGAGGGCGATGATGGCTCTTGGTTCGATTGGGTGAGAAGTTGTGTGCTATTTGAAATCAGCATGCTAATATAACTAACTGTTCAAGACAACACCGGTCTCCGCGGTATTGATAGCGGTGGCGTTTCTCAATGTGGTGTATCTATTTACGCGGATCAAAGTGTACCGACTGCATCAGCGGGCAGATCCAGTGTCGTCTCCGAATGCACGGTTTGTGTCTGCTCAATTGGACTTTGAGCCGCTAGAATTGCCTTCTCTTGTGTCGCGTATCCGGCGTGGGATGTGGTATGGGTTCTCGTACTCTTGGCGGTGGCTTCTGGGAATGACGCTGCCGAAGGGGGGCGGGGGGCAGGCGGGAGGCAAGACTGCACGTGTGCAGCAGCTGGAGGTGTGGGCGCCAGGACAAATGGAAATGGTACTGTTCACAGTTTACTCGCCGGCACACGCGTTTCTGTGGATGGCGACGGGGTGGACGAACTGGATAGCAATGCTGGTTGTGATGGGACTATTGTCTATACAGGTAAGTGGGGTGTATGAGTGATGGACGGGGCTAATAGTGGTGGTTACAGCTGCATGGGATGATGTATTGGTACTCGACGCTAATCAAGGACAAGGAGATCATTGCAGCAGAAGTGATGAACGAATACAATCAAGGGGTGCGTCTGTTGGAACTATATGAGTTGTATATGACTGATAATTGGGACAGTTTGTGTATCCACGGGTTATGCCAATTCGAAAGGATGTTGCGGTGATGACACATGAGGCTGAGATTGTAAATGTGTGGGAAGAGTAGTAAATAAGCACAGCCACATTTATAAACCGTTCCAATAAGTACGATGACTCGATATCGATGCCTTGTGGGTTTCAATTTTGAGCGTGACTTTTGGCGTGAGCTGATTAGATTGCAGGGCTTCAAAGCTGATGGGACCAAATCGCGAAGCGGCTGCAATAGAGGAGCTTCTTGCAGGTTCGTCCACCCAAACGATCCGGGCTGGCTCACTGCTTCCCCTCCCTCTCTAAACGCACTCGCCGGTGCAGCTCGTCGCCGTTCCCGTTCACCTTTACGTTTTATTCGCCGTTCCCCGTCCCCCCCACCCTCATCAATGCCTCCATATAAGCCACCCTCATCAATGCCCCCATATAAGCCACCCTCCTCATTTCCCCCTCACAACCCACCATCCTCAATGCCCCCTCACAACCCACCCTCCTCATTTCCCCCTCCCTTCCCTCGTGTCCTCCAACCTCAGCAACCAACCCCCCAAAAGTCCTCTGAACAACTTCGACTTCTCTGGGAGGAGAGAATAAAGCAAGTCTTTCCCCATCTTCCTCCTTTCGTCCTTGTCCTCAACATCCATCTCACAGGATCCTTGCTGAGAACACCACTCGTCGTAAACTTCTCACACAAGTCGAAGCCGACATCGCCAACCATCGCCTCCTAACTAGCCGCCCCAACTACGCCACTGTCCCAGACGATGGCAAATCTAACCTCGAAAATGATCTCGCCCTTCTCGAGCGCAAACGTGACGATATCAAGAAACAGCGCGAGGACGCCATCAATCAACTCATCAAAGCTGACTCTTGGCCCCCCCTACCACTCACAGACGCCGAAGATGGCGAGCTTGGAAAATACACCGAGATCCTCAAGAATGTCGCAGAGCTCAAGGAACAAGTCGCCTCTATCAATTCCACATTCGCCAAACTCCGCAAAGGCGATGAGGACGAGGTCCTTATGGATGTCAATCCCCAGGAGGATCCATCCTCCCGTCCTTTGAAGCGCCGTCGCGGACCTGAATCTGCTCCATCCCTGGAACCAGAACCTGGCCCTACAACAAATGAGCTCGAAGAAATGTGCGAGAAACTTTCCGATCTCGAAAGCGTCTTTGCTACTGTTCTTAACGAGCTGAACGCCCAGGACTCGGACATCCGTACTGATGTTCAGTCTCAAATTGATACTTTCCTGGAGGAGTTTACAGACCAGTTGGACAGTAGACCACCCTTGGGAGAGGAGGTTTACAAGGAGGTCAAGGAGAATATCGATTCAACAGGGAAGGACGTGGGTGAGCTGGCCGTTGAAGTGAGCCACCTGGTGATATCTGCCAACACTCAGCAGCTGGAGATGGAGTCTATCAAGGAGCACATCGCAGCATCCAAGGCTGAATATGCAGAGGTACGTCTTAACTATGCAGACCCATATCACCCGTCTGATCGTATACAGATGCAAAAACAGTTCCAAAGCTACCAAGAGTCACGCGAAAGGGACCGCAAGACCATTGCGGCCTTGGAACAAGCCTTGCACACATACAAGACTTCCGCGCCGCCGCCGCCGCCGCCGCCAGTGCTTGCCATCACACATGCCCACCTAATCGAGCTTATAGAAGAGCCCTTGCTGGACACTGTGCGCGGCCACATACAGCCCCTGATCGAGCAGCTGCGACAGCAGGTCCAGCTCATGCTCAACACGCAGAATGCTGAGATGGTAAAGACTGTTTGGGGAAAGCTCGGACTCACACTCCGGATGGTGGAAGCAATCTCAAAGCGCCTTGAGCGCCTCGATCAGACGGCGACACCAACGGCGGCGGCGGCGGCGGCGTCGATAACATTGGGTTCGACTATTTCGGGTTGATGTGAAAACTTTAGCTTTTCTGGACCGGTTTTTGTTTCATTTTGTAGGTATTGCCTCCCGATCGAGGGTGATTGCCTTTGGTACATTTGTCTAATATTATTGCGCCTTCGATTTGCGAAATTCGGACGTAGCCATTGTTACAACATATTGCTCTGACCTCCACGCAGCCCGTGTAGCTCAGCTGGTAGAGCTTTGTACTTATGAGGTTATCTGGCCTGGTTTGTGATATGCAAGGGTCCCGAGTTCGATCCTCGGCGTGGGCATTTTTAGTTTTTTGTGCCGTTCGAAATAATTTTACTTAGCATGCAGTATTTATATTTATATCTATCGCGTTTTATGTGCATCAAATACCGAGATAAAGCTCCAACTGCTTGTCTTTAGTTGACCACTCAAATCAACGGTAGCATCGTGACGTCATACGCATTAAAAATCGTACTTTCGCAATGCTCACTATACTGAGCAGGGGTCATATAAATGGTCTAACCTATTAAATTATACGTGTATTATATTTGAGGAGGCATACCCATCTCCTCGGGTGTCAAAGTAGTACTCTCGATCATCACACCAACGCCGACCTTCGCAGAATTCTAATATAACATCAGCGTCAACCTCTTCAGCAAGGAAGACATCAGCTTACCTTGAAGTGATCGATCTCTCCCGAAACCAAGAAAGCAAAGGCAGGTGTAAACCGCTGCTCCAGCAATGCTGAAACTTTTCCGGTCGAATCAACCTGCGCCCTGAAGGTTGCCAGACGAAGGTCATACTTGGCACCTAAGCTTGCCAGAGCATCCCGACGAGCGGGCGTGGCGACCACCTGCAGGTCCGCTGCGACCTCAACCTTCTCGCTCAACTTCTGCCAGTAGGTAGCCTGTACAGCGCCCTGTGGTTGAATTTGGGCCGTCGCGATCCAGTTCTTCTGATTTCCTGTATATTTTGCGAGATACGAGGTGGTGAGTTCTGCCATGTCGGGTGAAGGCCGTTGGACGAGGGTCTCGACTCCAAGAGCGATATTTTTGGTGAGCGATTGAAGGTAGCTGCCAACGAAGATGCCAGTGAGGTCTGCTGGCCATGGGTTAATTGCCTTAGCATTGATGCTAAAGTCTTGGCCTGCATAGTCGTGCTCTAGCTGAATCATGTTTTGGCTCGCTTGCGAAGAAAACTTGATGTAAAAGGACACGTCATTAAATTGAAAGACGAGATATACAAAAATTAACAAACCTGTGCCTGCACTTTGGTAATGTTCTTGTCTGACCAACCTTGGTTGAGACGAGCGTTGACGTTGCCTTCGTGGTCTACACCTCCTTGAAGGAAAATCTGGGGAATGTGGAGTTAGACGTGCCCTGGTACTTGAAGAGCGCATAAATGTTCACCGACTGGTTCGCAAAGATTGCACCAAAATTATAGGATGGCGGCATGGTTTGTGAGCCCAGAGCGAAAGAGTGAGTGACTTGGAACAGTGGGTTCGCTGACAAGCTCTTAGTCAAGTCGGCGCGAGCACCGTCAAAGATGTAGTTGGTCAGGTGGGTCGCTAGGACATAGCAGCGAGGTGAGTCTATGTTTTCATTGCGAGAACACGGCCGCGTACCTTTGACTTCCTTCTGGAGATTTTCGACTGTGCCGGGATGGGGTAGACCCAAGTCCGTCCGCCATTGGTTGAAACGCTCATAGGCGTCAGTAAAGGGAGATATGGGGTTGAAATACGAAGACTTTGGAGGAAGGGAGGGGATATGAGGAATTTCCCCTCCTTTCTCAGAGTGTGAGATGGACGCCATGACGGACTAACCAACTGAAATTTGTTCGTGTCACTCGAGTTGGCACACGCAAGAAAAAGAGCGACCAAACAAACCCAAGCAGTAGAGTATCACATGACCTATCCGCGTGCGGTGCTTGCCATCGGCATTCGGGAGAGCGCGTCGGAATCAACGTCGTTACGTTCCCTCAAACAAGTTCGCAGGTGGATACGTCAAGGATACATCCACTTCATTTTGCTTTCATCACTCCACCTCACATGTCCAGTTCAGTAACTCACTAGCCTTCCAAAATTTCCCTCAATACCTCAGTATTTCTCAGGATAAAGTCTAGGACGTTACAGGCCAGGGTAGGTTGCGTAAGTCAACGCATAGTGCCTAGATGCGATCATCGTCGGGTACAACGTGGCCATGACCGAAACGCTCGATGCCTTGATTGGAAGGATCCACATGTGCGCATCATGCATAGGACCTGAGCTAGATGTCACTACGGGTTTGCGATAAAATGCAAGAATTATACCTTGCCCAAACGCAACTGCGTTCTATCGGCCTCTAGCGACAGGAGACGGGTTTTCTCTTTCAGGAGCATAATGAAAACGCCTCCGCAGCATGCAAATACATTAGGCTGAAGTGTACCTAAGTGTACACGGCCTATTTCTGCTCAAACTTCTGCTCCATTTGTGATCGTTGCCAAAACGGATTCTATTCCTATCTCTACACCCCACTTGGTCTCTCCGATTCCGAGACTCGGCTATCTAAAGACTGTGCTTTATATATATTCTCAGCTGCGGATCCCATGATCGCTTTGGCGTTATAAGTTTCGCTCTCCCTTCGTGGGACTCCACGATTACAAGTTTCCCTACTCCTAGCTTCCGGACCTCATGTTCACGCCTAGACGATATGTCGCCATCGTCCTAGTGGTAGTGGTGAGGTTTATGTCTCGTCGCGTGAAACCCAACATCTAACCGAAACACGTCTTAGCTGACATTGCACTTTTTCCTTGGGCTGGTCCTCAAAGACTATGGGACATTCACCTCACACATCTCTGAGCAATTTCGGTCGCCTTTAGAAGCCGCGGCACTCAATGCTACTTCGAATGAATTGACTGTGGCACCCATATCCGAGGAACCCCCAAACAAGACCGACTTCACTTACGGGCGGCGAGCCAATGCGACCTTCGTTTTGCTCTGCAGGAATAGCGAGTTGCAGGGTGTGGTGTCGAGCATACAGCAGATGGAGGATAGATTTAATAGGCATCATAACTATCCGTGGGTGCTCCTCAACGAGGAACCATTTACGGACGAGTTCAAGAGGTATGTGACCTCGTTCCTTGTCAAGCGCACTCATTTGAACGCCCGGAAGGCGAGTTTCTGTACTCACGGATGCGCCTATCTCATTCGGCCTTATTCCGAAAGAGCATTGGTTCCAGCCGGACTGGATAGACGAGACCAAGGCTAGGGATGGGAGAACTCGAATGATGTGGCAAGGTATCATTTACGCAGGTATGTCCCATGCCACCCAAATATAGAACAGTTTTATAAGCTAACCTACTGATAGGCAGTGTTCCGTCAGTTTTCTTCTATCTACACACGCAGATCAAGTGGCTCAGTTCTTATGCAGATATCGGAACATGTGTCGCTTCAATTCTGGCGTGAGTGCATTCTATTTATATAACGCGACGTCTCGCACTCACAAGGACTCTTAAAGTTCTTTTTCCACCACGAGCTCCTACAACCATATCGCTACTATTGGAGGTTTGTTTTATATTGCTTTCACAAGACGATGATGAGCTCATAGCAATGTCACATAGAGTGGAGTATGTCGTGCTTCCTTCTCCCGTTACAACATCCTTAACCTCTGCTGCGCACAGGCCCGACGTCAAGTTTTTCTGTGATGTCCCTTATGACCCGTTCCTCTACATGGAGGACGAAAATAAAGTTTACGGTACGCGCTACGTGTCAAGGTACCAAGCAGATGCGTTTATTGGTTATCTCCAGGCTTTACGATTTCTCTTATCGAATGGGAGGCGACTATACCCACCCTATGGTCTACTGTTAAAGGTAAAGTCTTTTGCTAAAGCCGGTGTCTGGTATCAAGTAACGATGTATACTTTCGCAGAATTTATCGCCGAATATCCTCAATATGTAGCGAAGGAAAATTCGATGGGCTTTCTGTCTGATAATGGTGGTGAAAGCTATAATCTCTGTCACTGTGAGCGGACTTGATCATTCTTAAATACCGCAAGGGAAGTTGATGCGATTATGGGTAGACTGGAGTAATTTTGAAATAGCGGATATGGACTTTTGGCGGGGCGAAGCCTACCAAGCGTTCTTTGACTACCTCGAATCAAAGGGGGGATTTTACTATGAGGTTCGTTTCCGCCAAGCATTGCGTATGTCCGACCGCTCACCAGTTGTTTGTAGCGTTGGGGAGATGCCCCAGTCCACAGTATTGCAGCTTCTCTCTTCGCGAATAAGAGCCAGGTCCATTTCTTCCGAGATATAGGATACCGACACGATCCCTTCCAGCATTGCCCGCAAGGTGATGACTGGACACGAGGACGATGTTCCTGCGATCCCAACGATAGTTTCGGTAAGTCTTGAACATGATGAACTCCTGTGCTCAATGCTCATGTGCTCCAGACTATGCCCAGAATTCATGTATTTCGAGATATGAAAAATTATTTGTATAGTATTAGACATGTAGACATAATTGATTTTTGCGAAAGACTAAGCATGTCTTGAGGCTATTGCTACCTGAGTTCAGTCTTGGCGCTCAGTTACTCGTCTGTTCGTCGGAGTAAGTTGGAACAGCCACGTGAGATTCTGATGCGGAGTACCGCCGTCGTGCAGGGGGCTGATCTCTGTAATAAACTGTGCATTCGTCAAATCCCCTTTCCACACTCATTGGCTTCTGACCACGAGCTCCTTCACTAAAATGAACGCCCAGATGCGGTACATACTGCTGGTGCTGTTTGTTATTGTACGTCTTCATGATCTTTCGAAAAACCGCCACTCACACTGCCCTCCAGGTCAGCCTGCACTACATTCTCAGCTTCTCAAACGAGACCTATGGACATGCAACTTCTTTGAATACCATTAAGGAGAAGATCTCTGGCTACAAAAACCAACCTCCATACAATCAACCTGTTCCTGAGGACTACTATTACAAGTCGAATGTGACAACGCCACCTGCACGTAAAGCCAATGCTGCGTTTGTTCTGTTAGGTGAGTTGTACATACCACATACGTAGCCTAGGCTGACTTGCACATGTTCAGCAAGAAACTCGGACTTGAACGGTGTCGTCAGTAGTATGAAACAGATGGAAGACCGCTTCAACAAAAAGTTCCAATATCCTTACGTCTTCCTCAACGATCAGCCTTTCGACGAAGCTTTCAAGAAGTGCGCTAGTCTTCATTTATTCACAGACATTTGTTCTGACAACCAGCTTAGACGCGTGATGAAGTTAACTGATGCCAAAGTCGAGTTTGGGCTTATACCAAAGGAGCACTGGG